TGTGGGAGGCTGTCTCTGAGCCTGCCTGTAATGGGACGTGACAAGGCTCATGGCTGGTGAGCCCACTGTGAGCCAGACACTGCTGGGCATCGGCTAGAGGAGCTCAGCAAGTCAGAAATCCTTGACATCCAGATACGTGTCCGAAAATGAGTGAAGGCTTATTTTCACAGCAAAACAATCTGGGTGATCCAAAGATCACTGTGCTGCCTCACGGGCCAGTGGAGATTTTCCACGTCCAGGTCTGCAGCCGCGACTTGTCCCTGAAGTCATTTATTCCTTTAGGAGGGGGGGCGTCCGGCCAGTTGCTGTGGGTCCCCCACCTGACCCGGCCTGCTTGCAGTGCTAAGCCCGGCCTGGGTCGGTGCTGATAACACATTCTTTCAACAGGAAGTGCCTCCATTTTCAGTCGTCAGTGGGAGGGTGGAGGCCGATAAGCTGGGAGTGATAACAGAACAGATTTCTGCTCCACCCTCGTCTTGCACTTTGATCAGAGAAAGAGCCAGGACCTCCGCCTGTCGGAGCTGCCTCCCAAAGAAGGAAGGATGGCTCGGCTGTGGGCGTTCGGCACACTCTCCTCTACTGTTGTTCAGGAACTTTCGGGGGATTAGGTTGGTTTAGGGTTAGTGACGTGCCTGCTCTGGCCGTGTTGAGATGTCTGCGATCTGATCCTTTCAGGGATTTAAGTAGACGTGGGAAAACCTTAACCAATTGGCATTTATATTGGGGTGTGTGTGTGTACTGGGTCCAGGGTCCTAATAAGTTATCTCTGATTTTTTTCCCCCAGATTGAACTGATTCTTGAGAGGTAGCTCTTGAATATCCCCAGTGAAGGGAAGGCACTTAAGATGACAATGTGACAAGCCAGGTTTCTTAAGGAGAGTTGTGCTAATTCTAGTCTTCTTCTGCTGTTAGAATGCCAGTTTAAGAGCTCAGGTTATATACTGTTGCACCCATCTGTGTACTGTGTTTGGGGTTTTCACGTACCTGGAACTGTGTTGCACACGTGCATGGCTGGCTGGGTTCCAGCCTATGCCAGGTGGCTCAGAGGTGACCTCAGGGGTGCATGGGGGCCCATCTGATCCTCCCTCCACTCTGATTCCCCCTGTTTTTCATGCTGCTTTATGACTGTCCAGGCTGGCTCATTTCTCAAGTACTGGTGCCTCATGTTTCTGTTCCTCTCCCCCAGTTAGACTGCAGTAAGCCACTCAATTAAAATATTCAAAAGGAAGTTATACATGGCTAACTGGTTGGGCCCTCCCAGGTGGTCCCCAGTCTCCCACCCCACACTGGGTTCTCTTGAAATACATTTGCATGCACATGGGTAAGTTGTAATTATGACCTAGAATTTCTATCCTGCTGTTTTTCACTTAACATTGCATTACAGGATTTTTTCCATTTTGTTACATGATCTTATTATTTTTAATACTTGCATAATAGTTCATTAAGCAGATATCCCTTCGTTCCCAAACCATCCTCATATTATGAGACATTAGATTATTTCCATGGTTTCCACTATTATAAGTAACCCTGCAGTGGATGTCTTCCTGTGGGGAGCCTTTCCGTCCCTTTGAATTTTTTCCTTGTAATCCATTTCCAGAAGTGAAATTACAGAGCTAAGTAGGGTATAAAGTTCTTGATGGCTTTGCTAACTACCTTCTAAGGTGTGCGCCAGGGTATAACCCCGCCAGCCAGGGATGAGGGGGCTGGCATTATCCATCCCATCTGATCTCATCATGATGATCTCATTATGTATTGTGACATGAAATTTCAAGTTATTTTTTACTGAGGTATGACTGACATAGAAAAAAACGCTGTGCATCGCAGCATTCCGTGTTTAAATAGTATATCCCCATTTAAAAATAAGGTTCTCAAACCTTGGGCACAAGTACTTGTATTTTTTTCTGACAAACTCAGATGTTGCTTTTGATTTCCAATGAGCTGATATTTTTTTCAGGAGCTCATCACTCACGTAATTTGGAGTTTGCCTGCCATATAGCTTAACATTTTTGTCTGAACAAAGAAGACAGTAAATATGTATTTCAACAGTAGCTTTTGGGACTGTTGTTCAGGTGTAAGACTAATGTTCAGGGTATTAAGGTTTCTTTAATGCGGCTTATTTGAAAAAGGGCCGATGAGCCTTTTGAAGGGCTGCAGGAGCACCTGGCTTTCTCTCTGCGCAGAGCCGTCAGTGATGATTAGAGTAAGGTCATGGCTGTGGTGGTTTTTACTTAGCTCTGGCTGAGTTCGTAGGGCTGCTCCCACCCAGTGATGGCGGCACCTTGCCTGGTGAAGGCTGACATTGGGGAGATTCAGTGAGGTCCACGCTCCTTCACTACAATAACAAAATTCTCATAGTGTCAATAGCACATACGTATGTAGTCTTGACTATTGTCAGACACTTTCACGAGGGCTTTACATACACTAATTTAATTCTTTTGCAGCAACCTTCTGACATATGTGCCTCTTTATTTCCATTTTCTAGGTGAGGAAACTGAGGTACAGAAAGTTCTAGGTCAGACCCTCTAGTTTCTCTCTCCCACAGAATCTTTTCTGACTCATTGCTTAATATCCTTCCCTTTCAGCTGTCTTGTCTTGTGAACGGACCTCTCCACATCCTGCATGCTTCCAATTATGAGCACCCTTTCTTCACCCACAGCAATAGCTTCCCTTCATGGAATATTTAGCATGGCAAGGCATTCTGACGTGCCTGCACACATTAGCTCACTTAATCATCACAAACATGCTTGAGGTAGGGCCAGTTTCCCAAGGAGGAAGCTCAGGAGGTGGGTGGCTGAACCAGGGTAGAATTTGAAAGTCCATGCTGGTCCTACCGTGCAGGCTGCCTGTGGCTGTCCCTGGGCATCCTTTCCCCTCTGCGATTCCTTCTCTGACCTCTTGTTCTACCTCCCTGTCTCAGACACTCATAAACTCATGATAACTGTTGAGTGGTCTTACTTTCGAGTGCGTGCGTGTCCTAGTTCCCCACACAACCTGGGAATGACTGTCTCTCGGCCCCGGGGCCGAGGTGCCCTGCTCATGTTTCTTCTTATGACTTGTGGTGACGGCAGACCCCTCTGCTGTCTCAGCATTTCTGGCCATTTGAGGTGCGCTGCTTCCTGGGTCAGTCCAGGCACCCCCTCCATTTCAGAAAATAGCACTTGCTGTGGTGAAGTCAGATTTAGTCAGATAAATGCAAATGTGCCTTTTTGGGGAATAGGTAGATAATACCAAGCTGGGTATGACATTAGTCATTTATAAGGGAGCTCACTCTTTCTACTAGTTGTATGATAGCTCTTTTCTAAAATGAAGACTCTTTTTGTAATTGAATAGCATCCTTTTGTGTATTTCTTTGGGGGTTAAATCTGGATCTATGTTGAGTTTGCTTATAGCCGAGGTTCTGAGCTAAAAGTAATCACCGTATTTGTACGTGTAACTAAATCCATAGCTTTAGTTTGTTTGACAGGATTATTTCATCTATTTCACAAGAATCTATTTTAAATTTTAGACATCTCAGTGAGTTTGTGAAATTTGCTTTTTTAGGCACCCAAAGCCCTTGGTTTACATCTTTAAGTTTGTATTATTTAAAAAGAAGTTTGGGGGCAGGGGTAGGGACTGTTGCTGGATTTGCACAAACATTCATTTTTGCTAGGAAAGGGAAGGATTCGTTACCTGTGGTGGGGCCACACTTGGTCTGTCCAGCTGGGAGGGAATTGGGATGGGTGGACAGGAAGTTCCATGGTCACACTTCCCAAAATCCTACCTCTCAGTCCCATACAGCTATTGTGAGGATCAGAGAGAAAACCAGATCTTTTCTGGGAGAGGGTAGGACCACGCTGACTACTAGGCTCCTGAGTGGAGCCACGGAGGGTCTGGGACCCTTCCATTCAATTCTCTCAGTGTCTGGTGTCCTGTATTTCTCTGAAGTGGATGTACCGTCAACTTGGCCAGACAGATGGATGTTTTAGGATTTAATGGGATTGTGAATGTAGAAAAGGAATGCTTTGAAAAGTGCAAGATGTTCTACCTGTGTTAAAAAACAAGTATCCAGTAGTTTATGGAATGGAACCCTGAAAGCTCAGAAGAAATAATGGGCTTCAGAGCTTTTAGAAGGAAAGAAAGCATGATTCACAAGTATGTGATTATGGCTAGATTTAAAAGAAAAAAAAGTCAAATGCAACTGTTTTCTCAAACCATAGTCTAAACATGATTTTAGTTATTTTGGTTTGATTTTACTAAATTATATCATGTTTGCTATTTGGCTTTTCTTATTTGGATGGAAGGAAGGAAGGAATGAAACAAGAGAAAGGTGACCTTTTGCTTCAAGAAATGATTGCCACGATCATGACAGATATAGGATGTTAGCATTTTCTTTATCACATGGTCTGCTTCAAACATGGCCTGTGCTTTAGGGAAGAATTAAATCCTGTGTATGCATGGGTTAATTTTCCATGAAGTCAGTGCTCAAAAATTTCATTTATCAGGTCTTGATGAACTGTGTATCTTTCCTTCTCAGACTTTGATAGAACTGCTAAGCCTCGTGGTTCCGCTGTGTGTGTGTGTGTGTGTGTGTGTGTGTGTGTGTGCGCGTGTGTGTACGCGCCGTGCTCTGCCTTTTCTCTTTTGCAGTGATTAGATTGTGCGGGCATCCTTAAGGCCTGTTGACCTACGTGGTGTGGTTTGTTTCACTGTCGGAGATCTGAGTGTTAGGCACTTTTTACAAATAGGCCACCTCCAGTTCCCCTTTCCTACCTGCGTCCAGCTGCGCATCTTGCCTGGTGGTTCCTGCCACGAGTTAATGGCGTGAATAGGACGCTGTTTCTAAGAGCAGATATTGCCCGAGTTAGGTCAGTGGCACCCTACCGCCCAGGGAGCAGCTCTGCCAGCTGTGCTACCGTCTCACTTGTCCCCGAATGTTTACCTAGCAGGGACCAGCTGCCTGACAATTTACTGGTAACTGTCTCTCCCCTTCTCTCTCTCCTCTCCATCCCCCTCTTCCATCAGGCAGGCGCCTCAGTGATGTCTGGAGCAGGGGAGAGCGCTAATCCCGAGAACAGCGAGCTCAAGTACTCAGGTCAAGATGGGCTGTACATCGGCGTCAGCCTGGCCTCGCCGGCCGAAGTCACGTCGTCGGTGAGACAGGATTCCTGGTGTGCCCTGGCCCTGGCCTGAGCGGCCGCGGGTAACAGGAGGAGGACACGGCCAGGGCCCACGGGACCGCCTTCGTGATCTTCTTGACAAGCAGTCCGGACTGGGCTGAGGATGCCGACTGGACATCTTCCTCTGACACAGGATTTCCGTGCCTTTATTTGAAAGAGATGTATCTCCCGTGAGGCTTGCTCAGCCTTTAGCACCCTGGCCCTGTCTTGAAGACCCAGGGAGAAGATGGACCGGCTCGGGAGAAGGGCCAGAGCAGCCCACAGCCTCCCTGGCCACGGCCGCTTCCGGGGTCGGCCAGGGGATTTGATGTCCAGTGTGCCACTTCCAGAAACCTGGACTAGGAACCGGGGCCTTGCCTGCTAAGGAATATTGAGAGAGATTTTTAAACAAAAGTTTTATGTGTATTGCCCCAATTCCTGTGCATCTTCTAATCGGTTTTGGTTATTCCAGAATTTCTTCATACCTTTTCCGCCCCCAGATTTCACATGCGTTCGTGGAGAAGACCATTCGTTTGGTACACGCCTCTGGAGGCTGAGTCGGTTCTTGAGGTCTCCTGTCAAAAATATCACTCGGTTTGCAGGACTGCATCGTAACTGTAACATACACTGTGACTGACGTTTCTCAAAGTTCATATTGTGTGACTGACCTGAAGTCAGTCTGAATTTGTAAACAGGGTAGCAAACAAAAGATATTTTTCTTCCATGTATACAATAATTTTTTTTAAAAGTGCAATTTGCGTTGCAGCAATCAGTGTTAAATCATTTGCATAAGATTTAACAACATTTTTTATAATGAATGTAAACATTTTAACTTAATGGTACTTAAATAATTTAAAAGAAAAAATGTAAACTTAGACATTCTTATGCTTCTTTTACAACTACATCCCATTTCTATATTTCCAATTGTGAAAAGAGAAATATTTCAAGAACAAATCTTCTCTCAGGTAAATTGCCTTATCCATTTGTTAAGAATTTTTGTACAAGAACACCAATATCTTCCCTTTATTTTACTGTGGAATATGTGCTGGAAAAATGGCAACAAAACTTTACTACCTAACAGATAACATTTGTAAATACTCTAGGCATCTGTACACACTATGATGAGGTCTCTGTAGCGTGACTAACCCACAGGCAGGTTGGTTTACGTTAATTTTTTAAAAAATGGGATGTCATATGGAAACCTATTTCACCAGAGTTTTAAAAATAAAAAGGGTATTGTTTTGTCTTCTGTACAGTGAATTCCTTCCCTTATAGTTTCATTTTGATACTGTATGTGGCTATAGCTATTCATATAAAGCAAGTACATGTGATGTTTGCAAATTGCCTTACGGCCTTCTTTTCAATGAATTGTCCTTTTGGAGCTGTTTTATACCTTGGTTCATTTGAAGTTGGCACATGGAGTCAAGTTATCAACTTTCAACTTGCATTGGGGACAACTTTATAAGTGAAAAGGACCCAGTATTATAATTATAAGACATTTCTGTGATTATAAGCATTCTGTTTAGGATCAATCCTTAAAAACATTTAAAAAGGCCAGAGTTTCTTTTCCTCTGAATGAAAAATACTCTGTGGCCCAGAAACAGAATGATTTCCTTTCTAGTTCCTCCCTTTTACAAAGTGCTGTGATATCTCAAAGCTCATCTGAAGTTAAAGTCTTTACATTCAGCCAAAGATATAAAATGATTTGAACAGCCCCTTTGTTTTTTCTATGTTGCTGCATGGATTTCAGGAAATCGGGAGGCTGTTTCACAACACAAAATGATGGCATTTCATTTTGGCTTCCTAACTGTGGCTCATTTTTCATGTACTGATTACAGCGGTCTATGGCGTCCAGTCTGAATCAGGAGAAGGGAAGTCTTCCTTTGTGGTGGGGTGGTGCTGGAAGCCAGACTCAGGCCTGGGATGTGTGTGTGTGCGCGTGTGTGTCTGGGGAAGTTGGTAAAGCTCGCTTGTACCCTGACACCCTATGGTGGGCTGGGACAGTGGTTAAGAAAGCAGGGTCTGGAGTCAGACCACGAGGTTTCAAGTCTGTGCTCTCTGTGACCTTGGGCAAGTTACCCAGCTCTCATTTTCCTCATCTGTAAAATAAGGCATATAACTCATGAGATTAAGTGAGATAATCCATGTGAAGTGCCTAGCATGGTGCCTGGCACATAGCCAGCGCTAAGTGTTAACTTGACTTTGAAGGAGGGTGGCGTGAGCTCTTAGCACATGGGTGTTTGGATGTCTTACTCCATGTGGAGTATCTGAAGTTTATGGCCTGTGAGAGTCTGATGTCCCTTGGCTTACCTGCACTTTTGAACAAAGCTGGGGAGAATGAAATGATGGATCCCCACCAGCCCAGGTGGTGGTAGAGATGGTTGCTTCAGAGATATTAGTCTGAGTTTGGCAGATTGTTTTAACAGAACAGGGATGGTCAACAGCAGAAGGAACTTACCCCGACTGACTCATTTTTCCCCCCTTCCTCTTCTTACGGTTCTCATTACTTTGAGTGGTTTCTGGTGGGTTGGGAGATGTTAGAGTTAATATGTTTTGATTGGAAAATGAATTTTTCTTATTGGGTCTTCCAAAGGATCTTTTTTGTTTTCTGGGGATGGTCGCAAACAGTGCTTCTTCTAATCCTAAGATGCCATTAGGTTCTAAAGTGCCTCTTCTTCTTTTTTTTTGAACACAAAGTGGAAGGAATTTGTGAAATAAATTACAAGGGGCAGAAAGAGGGGGAGAGGGCTTCTTGTGGCCTGTCCTAACACAATGAACTCCACTAACCTGGGCCTTTTCAATAACTTGTTTACCTGTAATTGTATAAGGCATAAGTTTGATAATTTTTTCCAAATACACAATTTCAGCACTCCTCCCCCAAAGTATAACATACAAAAGAACAAGTTATTTTTCACTAGGGAGTACATTTTTTTTTTTTTTTTGCAGTACGCGGGCCTCTCACTGTTGTGGCCTCTCCCGTTGTGGAGCACAGGCTCCGGACGCGCAGGCTCAGCGGCCATGGCTCACGGGCCCAGCCGCTCTGCGGCACGTGGGATCTTCCCGGACCGGGGCACGAACCCGTGTCCCCTGCATCGGCAGGCGGACTGTCAACCACTGCGCCACCAGGCAAGCCCTAGGGAGTACATTTAAATAGAGGTCCAGTCTGGATCTTGGCTTAAAGACTCCTCAGACCCATTACTGTGCGTTGCAGAATTTATGTCCTCTGTCAGCCCTTGCTGATTTTAGGTCATCTTACATAAGTGAGGGCTCTGTCTGGGGTCTCTCCTCAGGGTCACTTCGTGTTGTTTCCCGGTGCCTATGGGAGGGTCAGGAAAGCAGAGGAACCATTCATTTTCCCCTGCAAATAAATTAACTTCTTGCTCATGGGAAATGTTTTCGCCAGTCCTTGGAAATTTGATGTAATTTCAGATTGTAGATAAATTTTGCTGCTGGGAGGGCAATACAGCAAGTCTTTGGCTCTGCCAGATTCCAGGCTGCTTTCAGTTCGAGGCAGTGTGGTGGCTTCAGTATCTATACCGGCATTGTCCACGGGGTCTTCGGATCCCCGTGACTCTGAAAAGGTGTATGGAGAGAGGGCGGGAGGGCAGAGCAGGGAATCAAACATTTATTCAGAATAAGGCAGCTCAGGCTAGTTAAAATGCGTTTTGTTTCTGGGTTGAAATAGCAGGTCAGTTTGGTGACAAAACGAGTTACCTTCTGTTGTTTGGAAGCTCTGATGGGCCGTCAGATATGTTTGATTATCTAAAAGGAGAAACAAATATTAATAAATTTGCTAAAAAGAAATGAAATTGAGTTATTTGTAGTGAGGTGGATGGACCTAGAGTCTGTCATACAGAGTGAAGTAAGTCAGAAAGAGTAAAACAAATACCATATGCTAACACATATATATGGAATCTAAGGGAAAAAAAAAAAGGTCATGAAGAACCTAAGGGTAAGACGGGAATAAAGACACAGACCTACTAGAGCATGGACTTGAGGATATGGGGAGGGGGAAGGGTAAGCTGTGACAAAGTGAGAGAGTGGCATGGACATATATACACTACCAAGCGTAAACTAGATAGCTAGTGGGAAGCAGCCGCATAGCACAGGGAGATCAGCTCGGTGCTTTGTGACCACCTAGAGGGGTGGGATAGGGAGGGTGGGAGGGAGGGAGACGCAGGAGGGAAGAGATATGGGAACATATGTATATGTATAACTGATTCACTTTGTTATAAAGCAGAAACTAACACACCATTGTAAAGCAATTATACTCCAATAAAGATGTTAAAAATAAATAAATAAATAAATTTGCTAGGCCAGATCTTTCAAAACACAGTCCATGGGCAAAAATTTGGTACCTGCAGCTCTGTCCAGTTGAGACCCCAGGATGGATTCTGTGTGGCTGACTCTTTAGCTGGGGTTGGTTCTGAGCAGACCTCTCTGCGGTGGCCTCTGAGGAAGGGTGAGTCAGGGACAAAGTGATGGCTGTGAGGACCTGCAGAGGAAAGGAATCATGTGGTGTTTTCGGTTGGTTAAGATATTAGGCTAAGAGCCTAAGTAAGTTCATAGGAACTTCGGATAAATAAACTATGGTTGGTAGTTCCAGACAGCTTCGAAATGAAAACTAGGTTGATGGAGGTGCAGCTCTGAGATTCAGGTCAGAGTGGACAACACTTCCAAGCACTGTATAGCATCTCCCAAATCTGCCCTGGAGAACTAGGGGGACAGCTGCTACTTCACCGTTTTTCCTGCCCAGCAGCTGTTACAGGGAAGAGATGGTTCCACAGTTGAAGTCACTATTTTCACGAGATACTTATTTTACGTAGTGGGCTTTTTCTTGTTTTTAAAGAATGAACGTTTTAAGAATGGCTAAAATATGGCAATTAAAGATGAAATAATGCGTAATTAGTAGAAGGGCTTCTATTTCAGTTATCAGTGGTCCCTGTGGTAAGGTAATTATCTAGGTATCACTGAACTTTGGGGCAGGTCATTTCCTCTTTCTGCACCTCAGTCTCCACAGCAACCATAAAATGGAGAAATCAGGCAGTGTGGTCTCAGGGGTCCCTTCCATCTGCATTTGCTGCCCAGAGTCCCAAGCGCAGATTGTATGCAATGAAGTGATGGTGGGTCTGTGGTCTGGTCTGGGCTCCCTGAGTCCATGACCAAGGAAGCTGGTGGGTTTGGGATTCCCTTTGAGCTCTTCCAGTCCCCTCACCACCTCGGGTTTTTCTGTGGAGGCAAAGCCCTTCTGTTGCCTTAGGGGACAGTGAGGGTGACAGTCCTGGTCATACTTATGAGCACAGGGGCTTGGTAAGAGGTGCTGCCACCCCCAACGCCAAACCTGCTTGGTTTGGGGCTCCTGACATAAAACTTATACAGTGATACAGACCCAGACAGGAAAATGGAAACGTCTGGCTGCCAAGCAGTCCACAGAACTAGGAAAAAACAGCTTTGCTTTGCTTGGCCCATTGCTTCAATATCTTGTAGTTGGTTTTTTATTTCTTGGAAACAACCAACTTTTCATTGTTGTTTGCCTTCTGTGTCTTCTCTTTAGCCATTACAGAGTTTTCCTCCCTGTCTCTCCACCCCTTCCCTGGGTTTACCGTTATTTTTGAATTCTTTTCCTTTAGTACGCCAAGACTGGTCTGAAATAATAATAGCAAATATTTATCTAGCACTTACTATGTGCCAGTTTCTATACAAAGTGCTGCACATGTATTAATTTATCTAATCCCCATACCAAGTGAGTGAGGTGGTACCATCCCCATTTTACAGATGTGTCTGTGGAGGCACAGAGAAATTAAGTAACTTGCTCAAGGTTACACAGTGGCAGAGCTGGGATTTGAGCCCAGGCATTCTAGCTCCAGAGCACATGCTCTTAATCACTCCACCATATTGTTTTTTCACCTTGATTTACAGGGGAATAAATTGAAGAACACAGAGGGGGAGCCAGAGCTGTCTGAGACTTGGGGCTATGCCCTTTCTCTCTCCCCTAGCATCTCAGAAATACACAACTGTGATTTGTAACACAAGCCATGCCTAGATTGAAGAAACCTAGTAAATGTATACGTTTCTTCTAGACGTAAGTTTCTTTAGAACACGGAAGCTGGGTTCGTAGTTGTTAGCTGGAAAGTAGTGAATTTGGAGGTGTGCTGTTTTCGAACATTTCACTTATCTCTTTTTCCTGTAACTTCAAGTAAGGCTTGTTATGCTCTTACCTATTTCAAAGGATTAGGGTAAAGCATTTTGCAAAGTATAAAAAGCTAGTGAAATGATTAACAGTGGTTGAAGCCAAACACCAGCGAGAACAAGGAATACTTCGTCGTGGTGTAAACTCTTTC